AATAAATCGACATATCTAAATTATTTAACTAAACCTTTTTGAATGAAAACATGCTGACTGAACACACACACACACACACACACACACACACACACACACACACACACATATATATATATATATTTATATATATATATATATATATATATATTCGTAGCAGTGGATTAAGAACAATTATGTTGGTCAATTTGATATTTCCATGAAATCGTTAGTCTTCTGAGCTTGTTGGTTTATTTATCTTATATAATCTTAGTGTCTATGATGATGTTAACATTGATAGTATAGGGTTATATAAAGATGATGGCTTTATGTTAGTGAAATATTCCACAAAAATCAAAGTTGACAAAATCAGAAAATTAATTACATAGAGAATTTAAAATCTTTACATTAAAGTTAAGATCAACGCTAATTTAAAAAAAGAAGTATATTTCCTTGATGTTACCTAATTAATAATGTATTCCAATCCTACATGAAAACAAATGCCAATACAATTTACATCCACCTAAATCTTAGCCACCCTCCATCCTTAATCAAAGACATACAGTCTTCTACAGAATATGGGATTAGCAATAACTCTTCCAGCGAAAATGTCTTTTACAAGCATAGTAAAGTGTACAACACTGCCTTAAAAATAGTGGCTATAAGTGCACCGACATCATACATATAAAACGTAACAACAGCGATCGTAAGTATAGGAAAAGAAACAGGAAAATCATTTGACAAAATGGTTAGTACTAAGATAGGGCAGAAGTTCCTTCATTTAACTGATAAACACTTCCTCAGAAATAATCCACTCACGAAAACTTTTAAAAGAAATACACTAAAAGTAAGCTATAGCTGTACCGATAATCATGGAAATATTATTAAAAACATAATAATAAAATTTCAAACCAATACAACAATCTGAGTAATAATAGCCATTCCATAGCAACAAACAGCGATAATACCAACAAGTGTAATTGTAGATTCTAACGAATGCCCATTTTTAAAACTGATGTCAAACTGACTATCTTGTTTACCTAAGCACTATTTCTACCATAAAAGATCCGACAGTTAAAAGATTTTATATTGGGAGTACCAAGAATTCTTTTAAAACTAGGTGGTATCAACATATACTATCTTTCACCAATAGCGTTTATAAACATATGACGCCCCTTTCTAAATATTTTTGGAACTTAAAAGAAGTTAACAAAACGCCGACAGTAAAATGATAAATACTGAAAAAAACCAAGAACCTGTAAATCTTTAAATGAACCTTGCTTCTTATGCTTATATGAGAAATTCGAAATTATCCGATTTCCTGATAAAATAAATCTCTATGAAATCAAAGAATTGAATTAACTGTAAATTGCCGACAGGGTTTATCATTTTACTTTACAATAGAGTTGAATTCTAAAAATTAGGTAAAAGCATTTCTTATGGCCATAATTAATAATTGATTAACGGTCCACCCACTACGAGTAATTATTTTATTTTGTTTGTTCGGATTTAGTATTGTTATGTATTGCTGACAATTTTGTATTATTAATATCTTATATACATGTTTTTGTTGTAATCTCTTATAATAAAAATTAGTATTTTTAACTGAATATGTAGTTTTTTTATGTTTCTAGACAAGTATGTTTTTATATGTTTCTACAAGTATGTCTATCCATCCACAAAATACTTGTAGAAAATAAAAGTATTATAACTCCATCCATATAGAAAAAAGAATAAAATTAATGGAAGCAATAATAACAGAAAAGAAAAAAAAACACAATAACATCAACTATAAACACGGCCACAACATGCTAACCGTGTTTGTAAAATAAAACATTCTTGTCATTCTCGAAACGTATAAAATGTAAACATTCAGTTAAAAATTTTTTAAAAAATCATTAATAATAGTTAATAGAATTAGTCGAAAACGCGCGGATATACAATTTTTGCACATTTTATGTACAGAAAAAACACACTTATACGAACACAAAAAATAAATTAAAAAATTAATCACAGTACCAGTACTGCGTTAGGCGTCTTTAACAAAACACACAGACACACACACAAACACACAGACACACACACAAACACACACACACACACACACACACACACACACACACACATATATATATAGATTGAGATCGACAAAGACTCATTTTATACACATATATATATATATATATATATATATATATATATATATATATATATATATATATATATATATATATATATATATATATATATATATATGTATATAAATAAAAAGAAAGAACAGTAAGATATAAAACTGGGTGTTCTTATAGATATTTTATTTTTACAAAATAGTGCTCAATGTAAATTTACAGAGCATTAATATTATAAATTAATTGATTTAAAATATGGTTATTTTCGCTACACAGTTCAACCATGTTTCAAAAGATGTCCCTAAAACTCTAATTTTATTTTTGAAATTAAATTAAAAGCATTGGTTCCATTTCATCTTCAAATAAAATTTTTTTGAAGATGAAATTTTTGA